CCCATTCTTAGAGTAACATGTGAAGGTATGTAAGTGTAAACTTTCATAAATAATGTGAAAAGCTGGCCGGGTGCGGTGACTCACACCTGTAATCCCCGCACTTTGGGAGGCCGAGGTGGGCAGCTCACGAATTCAGGAGATCGCGACCATCCTGGCTAACGCGGTGAAACCCTGTCTCTACTAAAAATATGAAAAATTAGCCAGGCATGGCAGCACGCGCCTGTAGTCTCAGCTACTCAGGAGGCTGAGGCAGGAGAATCACTTGAACCCGGGAGGTGGAGGTTGCAATGGGCAGAGATCACACTACTGCACTCCAACCTGGGCAACAAAGTGAGACTCCATCTCAAGTAATAATAATAATAATAACAACAACAACAATAATAATGTATAAAGCTTTCATGGAAAAAAATTAAAAGGCAAGATATAAATAAAGGTGAATAGAACATCAAAATTTATGCTATTTTATTGCATATGATTAGAATTAGAAAATTTCTGTTTAAAAACCCCACTGCACATATTGAGCTAATTTTTAAGTAGCTCTTGGTGACAAAATCCAAACATTTTAAGTGTGTTGATTGCTCTTTGAATATCAACTATATTCTAAGATTGAAAATAGTAGTACTACAGAAGTAATAAATTAGATAATATATTGTCTAATAATATACACTTCATGTATAGATTTAAATATCGAACACCTTATTTAATTCACAGGTGACATGGCTAAAGGACTTTAAAAGCAGCCAAAGGTTCTGGAAAACGTTTTCTGCTTCAGGCAAACCTACCAGCCCTCATTTTTAAAAGTTGCCCTCCAACCTCTGATTCCTGAATATTCTCAAATAAAACTGTCATCTCTCTTGCTGTTGTGTTTATCTCTAGAATACAACTGGAGTGTCCACAATTCCGTTTCTTTTTTTAAATAAAGCTCCACAACCATGGATTTCCCCACCTGGGTGAAGTTATTTGACTTTTAAGCACTTCCAGCTGGCAGCTTGGCTGCCGCTCTGTGGGGTTTTATAAACTTCTCTCTGACAACTGCACCACCCCTAAGTACCCAGGCTTTAGAGACAATTTTCACAAAAGACACATAAATAGAGGTTTTAATTATTGGATTAAAAACATATGTTCCAAAGGTGGCTGTTTGAAAGGGGACAATATTTTGGACAGGTAACATCACTCCAGATCAACAAATATACCTGGAGATATCTGCAGTGCTTCCTATTGTAAACAAATAAGAATTTCTCCATGTTTACTCGGTGGTTTTTTTTTTTTTTTTGAGACAGAGTCTCGCTTTGTCGCCAGGCTGGAGTGCGGTGGCGCCATCTTGGCTCACTGCAAGCTCCGCCTCCCGGGTTCACGCCGTTCTCCTGCCTCAGCCTCCCGAGTAGCTGGGACTACAGGCGCCCGCTGCCACGCTCGGACAATTTTTTTTTCTTTCTATTTTTAGTACAGCCGGGGTTTCATCATGTTGGCCAGGATGGTCTTGATCTCCTGACCCCGTGATCGGCCTGCCTCAGCCTCCCAAAGTGCTGGGATTACAGGCGTGAGCCACCGCGCCCAGCCCTGAGTGTATTTTTCAAAAATCCATTATTTCAGAGTGAGCATTGACTTTTTATTTATTAACATAAATATTTATTTGTTTACACTTCACTGAAATTGAGGTAAGGTTATTTGTAAAATGATACTTTGCTGCAGAAAGAACGGGTGCACTTATATACAGAACTGTAATAGTCTTCAGTCAAAAGTCAACTTCAACTAAAATAATTTATTTCAGAGTTAAAATATCTAGTATAAAGGCCATCCCAGGATTGCCATTTATATTAAACTGTTTTCTCTGGGTAATAGATATTGTTAAGCAATGAGATCCGTTAACAGACAGCTTTGAAGACAACGAAAGACAGATAAAAAGTTCCATGAGGGTCCCTAACTAACAGGACTTGCTGAGATTTGCAATCCATTCACTTAAGGAATCATTGCTGAGAAAATTTTCCGTCAGCCACTATTCCTGCTATCTTCTGAAAAATTTCTTACCCAAATTAAACATAAATAGTCTGGTTGATTGGCTAATCATAAATAATAAAGAACACACGAGAAAAACCCTGAAACAAGTAAAGACAAAATAGCCATAATAAGTATGTGCTTTTAGACCAGTAATGTCTTCAGTTTTTAGTGGTCCAGACTAAACGTTTTAATAAAAATCCAGGTAGTCTTGGCCGGGCGTGGTGGCTCGCGCCTGTAATCCCAGCACTCTGGGAGGCCGAGGCGGGTGGATCACAAGGTCAGGAGTTCGATACTATCCTGGCTAACACAGTGAAACCCCGTCTCTACTAAAAATACAAAAAAATTAGCCAGGCGTGGTGGCGGGCGCCTGTAGTCCCAGCTACTCGGGAGGCTGAGGCAGGAGAATGGCGTGAACCCGGGAGGCGGAGCTTGCAGTGAGCCGAGATCACGCCACTGCAGCCTGGGGGACAGAGCAGGACTCCGTCTCAAAAAAAAAAAAAAAAAAAAAATTCCAGGTAGTCTTTCATCAAAAAATGAGCGTTTTACTGGTTTACCTATTTGCAATTCTATCAAATACAAAATTAAGGATTTTAGACTAATGTGTCCTATTAATCAGAAAACAAAATTTGTACATTGATTAACACACATGAAAACTAATGCAGCTCTTTACAATAAGGGATCATGAAAAACTAATGTGTAGTAAGGCAAGCTCTTTTCAAATTATTTCAAACCAATTTTGAACCCCTTTGGTCATTTATAGCTAGAGTCACTTTTCTTGCTGTTTCTAAAAGAGAAAAAATTCACTCTTCACCATTGTTGTATCTAAATTTTTTGAATAAGGAGGGCTCTCAAATACAACTCTTTCAAAAATGTTTGCAATGGTGAATATTCAAAATTGAGTTTGGATGATTGACTTTTATATTTATATAAACTGCCTTTCAAGAATCCTGTGTCATCTTCCCCTGGTGCCATAATGTATTTCTATTGTAAATAGTATACTGATGCCAATTTGTAAAGGAAATCATTAGTCTCAAATGATCTTTTTCAGAAATTTACAAATAATATAATGGAATTATTTTTTATGTTCAGTTTTCCTAAGCATGTGAATATTATTTTTGAAAAATTATTTTTCAATATAATTGCAATTTTTGAAATTATTTGTGAAAAATAAAATTCACATGGTTAGGAAAACAACAACAAATAACTTCTCTTTAAATACCTTACTTTTTTCCCACAGATAACCTGAAATAATAGGGCTACATGTACATAAAAGACTCATACTTGAAAAATAGCTCTGGCCAATTTATAACTACTCTACTGCCTTTTTAATCCACTGCTTTGATTTTTAATTTATATATATTTTTTATTTTCTCAAGAAAACAAATAAACGAACAATATTCTCATGAGATGAGAAGATGCCTATGATACATTCTATTCTATATGCTACTTGTCATTTTATTACATGAGAAAGAAAATATTTGTGGATTTATGAGCCATGGATCTTAAAAATTATATCACTTGCCCAGGCATCTAAAAATGATGTCCCCTGGCCAAGTGTAGCAGCAATTCAGTGGCATTGGTCATGATGGGGAAACATCAAAATGACATGGAATTTATTCAAATTGAAACTTACAGGTTTCCAGAATATTAATTAAAACAATGACAATCAGATGGAAGATATATTAAAAGGTGATGGAATATCAAAAGTGATTCTGAAGGAAAATTATGATAATCATATTCACACTGTCTTAAAAATGATGGTTTATTTCAATAATATATGATTGTATGGATCATTTATTAATCTTCTCAAGGCTGTGGACACTTACATTAAAATCAGCCTGGATTTTTTGAAAAATAAAATACTAAAGCAGTGTCTACAAAGACATTAAAAACTCTAATTATAACACAAGATATTCTGTTAGTTGGTCAAATTAAAATGCTATAATAAACCTAAGAACAAGTATTATTATTTTAATAAGGGAAACATTATTTACAACAACAGCATAGAAACCAGTATGAAAATAAAGATGTATATGATTCTGATGGATGAGCTGTGATAAAAATTGAGAAATTTTAAAGTAAAAAGAAATACAAGCTCTGTGGAGAGGAGGTAATTCACATCTTTTAAAACTTGGAGTAATGGCATGTTGTGTTTAAAGGATATCACAGAGAATGGTACTTGTAACATTTTGACCTCTCTGGAATATTATTACTAAAAAATTAGTAATCGGAATACCTATGAAACAGGCTCCAATAACTAAAATTTTATTTGGATTAGCTATTGGAGACAATGTAACATGCCCTAACACATGATGCGACATTCATACTCCTGAGACCAGGCTTCAGATTCATTTCTGTACTGCCTGATTGTTTGGGGCGGGCAGTCTCTAAGTGACCGGCAGGTGTCTTGGAAGAATAAAGAGTTCCTTTGTGACAACTCAAAAACAGGAATCAACTTTTTGAAACACAGAAAGTAGTGCCTACTTTAGTTTTCTAAAACATATGCTGCTTCAGTGATTACAAGTTAATTGATCTTTTCTCCTCTGTGAGAAACCAGCCTAAATTCATGGTTTTCTCTAAGGATACTGTAATGAGAAGTGTTCTTCTCTCCTTGGCAGTACATATTTTAAACCAATATTCTGGAAAAAAAAAAAAAAAAGAAAGACTTAAGTGTAAAAGCCTCTCATTTCAAGTATACGGTTAATTTTCTCAATAATTTTATTCAAATCCAAACCTTAGAAATATTATTCTCATAAGGTATTTTAAAGTGAAGCTTCAAAGAAAGAATTGGGAGAATTTTAAAAATATTACCCACAAGAGTACAAAACTCAGATTTTCAGTGTTTTCCCTCATGCTTCTTTCGTAGGAAGAAATGCAATTAAGTTGGTGAAGTGCTGTTTTTCTATTGTGAGCTTGGGTGCGAGATTTATATATTTGTTTCCTTGCTTTAAGCAGTAGCAGTAGAAGGAAAGCTATCAAACAAAAAAAAATTTCGTTTTGCAGAGTTTGATGTGAGAGAATTTAATCTGAGTACCAGATAGCATCAGGGTTGCATCTGCCTCCAGCCTGTTTTCCGGCCTCGTCCCTTTTCCCTGTCAATGGAATTTGGCATCCAGGTCTACGTGCTCCCTCTGAGAAAAGGACAGAGGTAAATCAAAGCCATTTATCACCTAATTAGATGCCAAAGGTGAAATCACCAAAATAAGGCTAATTCTGACTTCTTTGTAGGAAAAAATTATGTAACGTTTAATATGTAAATTTAAACACATGAGCTCCAAGCACATCTGCCTTAAGGGACCAGCCATCACAATGTAAGAAAAAAGAGTTTAATAATGGCCCTTCATGAAATAAATAGAACACTCAAGACAGGGTGTGTACATTTTGTGTTGTTTGGACTCCCATATTTCATAAAATTAACACCATTCACAGAAATCATGGATTGGGATTGGTTAGTTTTCTGTGAATATCCTAAATCCTGACATTTTCCTTTATAAAAACATATGAACACTAACAGTACTAGAATTCCCCCTTTAAAAATATTTGCAGAAAATAATTAAAATCCTATCGTCTCTGTTAAATGGACTTAATGTAAAGGAAATTGACTCAGTCATACATGAAATACCCGAATGATGTTTCAGAAATGACTTAACTGAAACATTTCTGACATTTAAAATATCTTCCTTAAATAGCAAATTTTCTTTATCTCCAAACATAAAAATTTGTCTCCTATTTGTTTAAAAATATATATATTTTTTGAGATGGAGTCTTGGTCCGTCACATTGCTGGAGTGCAGTGGCACTAGCTCGGCTCACTGAAACCTCTGCCTCCTGGGTTCAAGCGATTCTCCTGCCTCAGCCTCCCGAGTAGCTGGGACTACAGGCACAGTTTTTATTTATTTCAAAAGCAGTTTAAAGTTTCCTAAGAAATATACTCTCAGCTCATGATGTAACTCAGCTATTTGTTATCAGTTCTTTTGTTTCTAAAATGCACCCACACAAATATTATACTTATAGATTAGTGGGATGAATGTTGCCCTCAAAATAATTTTTTTAAAAACATTTTTTTATTGACAGGAAACTTGAAGCATAGAGAGGTAAAATGACTTGAATTTCTACCCAGAAAGCTACTGACAGAGACTAAAATATAAAACATTTCTAGTACAATTTCACTTTACTGTTCAATGATAAAATATATGCCACCAGCAAAATACTTGCTACTTTGGGTGTGAGTTGATAAGTATTGAGAACAGTCATAATAATTTGTTTCAGGCTATGTATGTTTTGTGTTTGTTTTGCTTCAAAGTACTTCACAAATGATCTTGAAATGAAACTATAGATTTGTCTAATGGCAGAGATAGAAAAAATATGGCCAAAATTGCAGGAAAGGACAAACAATAGATATTCAGGTAAAAATTACAACTTAGATTTCTTGAAAAAAAATTATTGTAAGCTACCTATAAGATAATGTCACTGTCTATAAAATAAATAGTTTTTGTTCTGCATTTCCAACTGTGCAAGTACCTAATTTGCCAGATTTGCTTTTAATGGATTGTCCCATCATTTTGTCAAGGTTTCATACAGTAATAGATACAAAGTCCATTAAAACAAATATGGCTTCTGCCTCATTCATTTGTTTGATAACTCATTTTTTCCTATGCATGCCACACTAATAACCTTTCTTTAAAATAAAATTTTAAGTGCATGAAACATACTGACCCCTCTCATGAAAACTGGCATAACATTAATGGAGTTAGTGGGATTGTTTCAAGGTATTATCAGAGTATTCACATAGTAGCACATTAAGACAAGAGATTACAAAGACCTAAAAATGATAATCAGCAATCAGTACAAAACCATATTTAGACTCCCAGGTGTAACGTTGCAATATCTTCTGAATCCAATTCCTGAAGGCATAGGACACATTTACAGCAATTAAACAACGCTTCTTTTTATTTCATGAAAGGGTGAAAATCTATTTTCGCAATCAGCAGCAATTATTGGTCCATTATCCCATTTTCCCTCTGAGGATTGTTCATAATCTTGGACCTCCTTAAACACATGAGCTTCTAACACATCTTCCTTAAGGGACCAGCCATCACAATATATAAAGAAAAAATAGTTTAATAATGGCCATTTGTGAAATAAAGATAGAGCATTCAAGACAGGTTGCCTCAGAATATTCAAGTAAATGTGATATGTAAAATTAATGAAACAGTATCTGAAAATGCAGAGCATAAAATATATGAGCAAATCTATACTGATTATATCAATATAACTGGCATTTTGGAGAGTCGTGAGAGAAATCACAAGAATTAACATTTGGTAATTTATGCACAGGAAACATAGGTAGTGCGTATTGTGTGCAAAGCACAGTTGCTTGTGGGTGCTGCCTCAGAGTTAAAAGCAGAAGTCTAAATGCCAGGAGATTCAGTGAAGAGGTCAGATAGCTAATGACTTTATACTGAGATGTGATTAATGTTCTAGAAGTGGGCAAACCATGCTAGTTATGTTTATTTAAATCGTTCATTGCTGGAATAACCAGGGAGCATCTACTGAAAGAGGAAGCATTTCATCTGAATTTTATTCTTTCTGGGTGAAATCTCAACGATACCCAAACAAGTTAAATTTATGCCAATGCATTTTCTAATTCAGGTTAGAGTGGTAAAGCATTCCTAATACCTGTACACTTCTGTGTGCCAGGCTATTATGAAAAAGTATTGAGACATTAATCTTAGGAAGGAAGCATAGCTACAATTCCCAATCCAATAGGTGTATGGTGGCAAATAACCATACATGGTACCCTTTAATGGACAGAGGCCAAAAGACTGTTCTGTCCCCCTGATAAGCCCTAATACTTGACCTTTCTTGGGACAACAGAGAAAATTATTCCTAATAATTCGAAGTTCCATGACTTAGAACCAATTCTTACCTCTATGAAAAGTGACCACATTCTCCTAAAATAAATGGAGTAACCTTGGTAAATGCTGGCTGGGTTCTTGTGAGTCATAGCCATTTCCACATTTCCTGGAACATAACTATACTGGTTATGAATTCCCAAGATGGAAAACCAATCCTGGTTATCACAGCTCTGCATTTTGTTTTACCCAAGAGCTTTCTCTCCAGATATTGATCCAACTGGTTTCTCATCTCTCCCCTGAGCCAGCCATGTTCAAAATCATTAGAGGGCAGAGTAATGGTTTTCAGCATACAAGAGAAAGCCAGGGTTGTAGGAAGGCTAAAACTTCTATTGTTTTTATGGTAATATCAAGATTTCCCATTTGTTTTAGAAAAGAATGTTCTGGTTAATCGAGGGTTAGTTGAAAAATCCCTTTGGAATACCTTGCTCTTACTAAATGAAAAAAAGAAAGATGGGGCCAATCTTTCATATACATCACTATGCCAAAGTAAAACATGGATCTAATCAGAAAAACTCTAGAGGAATAATGTGAAATCTCTCTTTTACAATACTTTCCACAGTAAACAAGCTTTTACTCTTTGCTTGAACTTAAGTGCAGGGAAAACATACTTCTATCCTGCTCTTTTCTCTTTTCATAGCTGCAGAGATAAAGTTATTTTTTGGAACTTTAGTACTACATTTTATCAACTGTAGTACAAAACATTTAAATTTAAATCACATGTTCAAATTATTGGGACACTTAATTTAAAGTCTATTCTCCACAGCATTAATTTTTCTTGTACCTATTTCAACACTAGAAGAAAGGGAGAGAAGAGAGGAGAAATAGGGATGAATTCCAATGATATTCAAGATTCCCTGTTATCTAACTAGATAAAGATGCTCATTGTAACTGCACATCAAAAACTTCCCTGAAATTATCTCCTCTTCTCAGCATGGGGTTTTCTGTTATTCCTATGTAAAAAAAAAAAAAGCTGTAATTCATTAAATATTTACATCAAATCCAAATTCCATTCAACATTTTCACTGTAGAAATTGACCACTATCATACTAGAGCATATAATTTCTGCCATAATCATGCCTTTTATCAAAGTTTGCGTTTTTGCCATTGTTGTTGCATTTTAAAATGATTTTCATATATATTTATATTTGTTTTGTCTCAAGAATTTAATTTTTATTGTTTAATATTGTTTAATAAATGTCATTAATTACTCTAAATGTTATTAATAATAAGATGAATTAAATATAGATATGCTGCTCATAAAGCTTTCTGTTTAATACGAAAGACTGGACATGGATATGGATGCCTCTGATGTGGAGCTGAGCACACAAAGTCATATGAGAGGCTCAGATTAAGGATGGTATGGGCTTATAAATAGGGAAAGGGAGGGCAAGAAGATGGTGATGAAGAGTGCATTGTACCACAGGCTAGGATATCCAGGTTTTACTTTATATAACCAAAGGAATAAGTGAAATTTTTCAACAGAAAAGTGAAATGGTCAGGGGTGGCTCTAAAGAATTTAATCTGATATCAATGGTTACATTGAATCAGACTGAGAATGGCTGGAGTGTGGGAGAGCACTGGCCTATCTGTATTTAACGAGAAACCAAATTAGGGAAGTGTCAGTGGAACTAAAAAGGAAAATATAGTTTCCAAATATACCTTAAAGGTAAACTTGGCACCACTCAGACCCAAGAATGATGAGGCATCAAAGGTGGGCTAAGAGTATGTGCTTCAGGGGCTAGGAACTTGTCTCAAGTTTTGGAAACTAAATGAATGGGCATTTTGTGGACAAAAGAATTGGAAATACAAGAAAGGAAACCTAGTGTGGAAAAGATAGCAATTTCAGATGGGACACGCAAGAATAAAAGTTAGCAAGACATGCATCCAAATTTTAAGAGATATGGATATATTTTCATCCAGGATTTAAAATTCATACAGAGATGTGAAACCATGAAAAATTTAACTTCTAAGTGAAATATGTAGAAGGAACAACAAAGTGGAGCAAAGACGTCCTTCCTTCTGAAGGAAATTCTTGCAAGGGAGATTACTGTAAGGTCTGCGTCCCCTGTGCTGAACTCCTGGAGGGTAACACAGAGCGCTGACTTTTGAGAGATTTTATAGGCAGACTTTTAAAACATATATATGGTATTTAATCATCTCAAAACCTGGACCAGAGGTTTTATATATGGTGTTATAAGGCAAATGAAGAGGAGTCAACTCTGTGCTCCAGA